CCCCCCCCCCCCCCCCCCAAGCTCTCAATATTAATTGTACTGCAATCCCCTGAAAACTTTCTAAAATTTATCTGGGTGTAGTTTAAAAGGATTGTGGTGTGTGTGTGTGTGTGTGTGTGTGTGAGAGAGAGAGAGAGAGAGAGACATGCGAGAGAGAGGGAGAGAGAGAAAGAGAGATGGGGTTATAAAAGTGAAAAATAATAGCTGAATAGTTCCTCATTGGTTTTTAGGGAATAAATGGCTATAAAATGTGTTCTTAAACAGGATATGTTTAATACACAGTGACATCTGATGAAACAAAAACAACACAGTCCCATGACTTGAAAATGTTAGTCCTGTGCCAACACATTGTTCATGGACTATAAAAAAATAAGTCTCAAGGCAATAATAAAAAAAATATCCAGCATCATATGTTTGAATTTTTTTGGTTTCATATATCTACTAAGCCAGTAAATATTGATTTTCCAACCCATGTTCCAGAACACTCTCCTGCCAAAAAAAAAAAAAAAAAAAAAAAACAGCAACGTTATCTTAGAATTTTCTTAAAATTCTGTTTTCTAATTGTCTCATAAATCTTTTCATTTCTATTTTTTCACTGCTGCTAGAATCTGGTAATTTGCTAGTACACTTGTTCCTAAAGTGAACTGCATGTAGATGGTTATTACATACTAATGATAAATACTATAAACATCAATAAACAAGTCAATTAAGTATAAAATTAATAATAATAGTGATATTTGTTTGATAAATTTTCGTAAGTTCATAAAAGGTACATAAAGATAAGGATCTATTACAGTTAACATTCAATTGACATTCAATTGAAAGATGCGCTCACAGCATTCAATACTTAAAATAACTAGTAGTAAATTATTTCTCTCATCATTAGCCCACTCTCCCTTCATTCTCTCTCAATTCACCCTCCTCTGTCCCTCTCTGTTCCTCCCTCTATCATCTTTTCCCCCATCCTTTCTCCCCCCTCTCTCTACCTCAACATAACGACACTTTCCTTCATTTTCTCCAACTTCACTCCCTTCTGTCTCTCTTTTTCCTTCTCTCCATCCTCTCTCTCCTTTCTTCCCTTCTCACTCTCTCTCTCTCTCTCTCTGGCACAACTTACCCCCTAGATTCCCCAGCAGACACAGCCTAGCCTTGTGCCAGGTGTGCACAGGTGATGAATACCTGTCAGATGACAGATACATCCTGATGGTATGAAACCCAGGGATTCGATTACAACTTCCTCAGTCAAATACTTTCTGAAACAGTTTCTCTGTGAACTGTACCTTCCTGTGCTAAGATTCAGTTTCAGTCTCTCTGGTTGGAAATCTATTTTTCTTACAGACTTAGAGACTATTAGTCCCAAGACAGCAGTGAAATTCTCTGGTGACTTGTCTTAGTAGTATGTGTGACGCCACACAATAAGAATTAACTGACTAGACAGTAATTATAAATAGCAGTTGCAGGTTCATCAAAATGACTGATATCAAACTACTTCAAGAAATAATAAGTGACAAGAGTCGACTGTGAACTTCAGGACTCGAAGATACCTTTGCTCCTTTCAAGGTTCAACATACACAGTCAAATTACACCATGTTATATAATATATTATACCAGGAGTAAAGTTATATCCTCAAAATGATCAAAACTCAGGTTCTACAAACACCACATAGGCAAGGTGCTAAGCTCCGTCTTCTTCAAGCTGGTCTGGTGAAACCCAGGGTGTAAAGTACAGTCAAATGCACAATATGTATATTCCAGGCACAGAGTTCTATCTTCGAACTGGTCTCATGAAACTCGCCGTTAAAAAAACACCATATATACACAGGGTGCTTAGCTTTGTCCTCAAACTGGTCTAATGAAACCCAGGGTGCAACCTTAGTTGTATCGATTCAAAATACTGAACGGCTTCCTTTTCTTTAAATAAGTAGGTGGGTGTGACTGCCAAATTGCAAATCTACAAGAACAAGGCACTTTCTGGATGGTAAGATATCTCAAAGGATGCACACATCACAACACTATTACATGAACTGTAATGAACAGGTGATACTCAGTCCACCTCAACTGAAGCTAATCTAATCCTGTTTTGAGGTATTTTGCAATTCAGCTCTCAACATTTCCCCTCTTTTCCCCTGCCTTGTTGGAACCAAGTGAGTTGGAGGAATGACTCATCTCTTGTGTTATGATAATGTATATAAACATAAATAGATGACACCTCTTCTAATGTTAGGTCATTAGCTGTTTACAATATAATATGGGCAACTAACCACAAACAAGGACTGAAAACAGTCACAGCTCAAAGGGCAGTCTTTTTATTGGGTGATGACTTCTACACTTATCAATTGCTACCGCTTGCTTACACACTGAATTTCCAAGTCATCATCATTCATGATAATTTTGCGAGAATATTTCAAAAGGGGGTGTGGCAGGTGCATACGTAAGCGTCCTCTGGGAAGTTCTTGCTCAATATTTTGTCTGCTGAGGTAGAAAGACAAATGAGAATTTACGAGGTTTATTTCAGGATTTTTAACGGGTTCAAAAAAGATGGGTCCGTCTGCATGCAGAAGTGATTAATAAAACCGGAAATCACCTTTAGAAATGGACTAACGAGACGACTTCTAGTCGTCACTAATCATTTTCTTCTATGTTTAAAGAGCCATTGGAGAACACAATGGTATATGATGTCTCGTCTGACATCATCGCATTTTTCACATATGAGAAAGAAATATATTTTGTCATAAATCTTCAGTAGCCCTGTCAATCGGGTGAAACCGACCCTGTAAGAAACGATCACCGGCTTCAACTTACCGCTTTGCTCTCCCAGAAACACGAGCTTAAATTTCCGCAAGGGGTTCCCGAATTCTCCTGCTGACATTTTTCTTTTGTTCTAGTTTATGTTTAGATCACCGAAGTCTTTTTTTCATTAAAAATCCGATCTTTTTTAGTAGTACCCCCTCAGCATTCAACTCGCCACGTCCAGAGCCTCGATGTGATATGAATTACTCATGCGCACTCCACTTTGACAAATGTTTGTTCATTGGTTAATCACGATCATGTGGCTTGGACAAAATGGTGGAAACCAGTTTTTCCGTGCTTCCAAGATAAATTTTTATGAGAATTTGAAACGTCTGATAAAAAGTGAAAATTATCACTTTCAGGTGAATCGAAATAATCGCTCGTAAAATGTCTTGTTTGCTCACCTTGTGAAGGAAGCGTGTGCCTTCTCCCAACATGGCATACTCAATTAAAGATGAGCATTACTACTGTATTCCATAAAAATGAAGGACTAGTAGTAATGCAAATATAACTGTATTTACTTGTTGACGCTCAATTTAATTTTGATTTTGAGAAAGTTAAATTTTAAGGAACTAACAACAAACACGATTATAGCGAGTTCAAGACTCAGCCAATTTTAAGTTGGCCAAATCTTATTTTATTTATTTTTGTTCTGTACATATTTTACAGCCAAATTCTTTAATTTTTAAACAATTTGATTACAAATTGAACCTGGTAGAGGACTTGGTTATTCAAGAAATTTACATATCCCTTTACTAATAGTAAAGGGGACCCTTGTGATTTTTGTTTGTATAAATAAGTATTAAAATTAACATTTTTCATCTTTAAAATGCCATCCTCTAACAACTGCACCCTTAAAAACAATTTGGCTTTGAAGCTGAAAATGTTATTGTGTTTAATCTCTATATATACGTATAAGGACTATATTTATATAACATGCCTGGCACCCTATTTTTTGTACACAACAGGTGCTGAAATATGAACACCAATTATCATCATTATATTTTTAAATTTTGACATAATTCAAAACTTGTGCACAAAAACAGGCACCAAGCATGCACTTGAGCTTTTATTTCTTTCTATCTTAAGAGTACTACAAGAACGAATAATTATTTCACCATCCTGGGCCATCTTAAACTTAGAAAGTAATATCTACAAAATCCCTCAAATGAGGACATTTTTTTCAGAAAAAAAAGTTTAAATTAATGCCTAATTGGCATGAAGGGTTACACTGCCATTTACAGCCTGCACCCAATGGAAGCACAAAAAAAAAAGACAATTTTATCAATGTTTGTACTTGTATCCAATACAAGCAGCCCTGAATTAAAATGACCCAGTTTGGATAGCTAATACTATATACGTGTATTATCTTATGCAGGTTCTCATGAACACAAAAAAACTGGCAATGCTAAGAGCAGCATGGCTGTTTCCCAGCACTGGTATATTACATACAATGCAGCAAACATCCCATGTAAAAGAGCAAAGCTCGTGTCCACAATTGCAAGGGTTTGACCATAAAAATGGTGATAGAAAAAAAGTTCACTGAAACTGACAATGATGACGGGGAACTACTGACAGTAATTAAATGCCACACATTTTGAGTGAAACCTGCAGGTATGTTTAAAAGATTCCTCGTAAAATTATTTTAACCCTCGCCCCATACTTACTCACAGGACTTACACCTCCACCTCTTTTCCCTTTTTTTTAATGAAAAATTTATTAATCTGAGTTATTTAAAATTTCTGAGCTAAATCCTCTCTCTGCAAAGATCATTTTCGTAAAATCTTTACAAAGAACTGTGAAAAAACTGTGGGGCTTAGGGAAATATGCTCTTTTTCTTAGAAATGAGTTCGGTAACACCAAGTGCATGTTCGCTAGGTAAGCATGATCAACATTCATGGCAAACTTGTCCTGTTAACTCTTTGACACTGTCAGTTACTTCTCTTAGCTATCATATGGGTCTCAGTCAAACAAAACTGAGACATCCTTATTAATCTGCATACTTCTGACCTATGAGGGTTTTGTATTGTATAAAGATTTATCACTTTTGCTTTTGTTGACAAAAAAAATCAAACCACATTCATCAAAGCAACCACCGACTAGAAGCAAAACTAAATGTTTGGATGTAAATTCGTTTCAACCAAACTGTGGAGAAATGAGGGGTTGACCTTTGGACCCTGCAAGGTCAAGGTCGACACTTCTCTCCTCACATTATTAATAAATTTAACTCTTCAAAATACATCACCTTTTTAAGGTCATTAAAACCAAGCTGAAAGAAGTAACCAGACTTCATTCTCATACATTTTATAATATTTTTTCAAAATTAAAAAATAAAAAAAAAATTATTTTCTTCAATAGCTGTTTGTAATCTTTTGCTATCAATTCTTTTTTTCTTGCATTTTTCTCTCAGTAATGGCTTATGAAACCTTACTAAAATGAGTTTACACTTAAGCAATTCTTATGACAGCAGGAAAGCAATCACAAGCTTTGTCTTGTATTTTAAACTGAAAGACCAAAGGCTGGCCCGTAATGTGTGTTTGCATGTGCACTGGCTTGTGCCGTGTTTGTGTTGCATCTCTCACCCTTGCAACCCACATCTCAAAAACCAGTCATTCTTGCACTCCATCATCCTCA